TTGATTAAATATAAATTTTCTCTAGATTTTTATATAATTTTGAATTCTCAAAAAAAAAAAATAGAAATTAATTTTTTCGCAAGTTCTAAAAAGTTAAGAAATAAGTTAATTATTTTTACCTGTAATTCTTTGGTAGATGATTTCCCAGTGATAGTTATAAGGGGCACTTCGTTTGATTTGATTGTGTTACACAATTTGTCCACTCTAACGTAAATGGAATCTTCAGCAAGCTTTTGATAATTTAAGTAGATATTGGTCTGAAACACGCGAAAACAAGCACGTTTATTTATTATAGATGCATCCAGGGTTTCGCCCTAAATAACGAGTAAGTTTTCGTAAAAAAATGACTGAGATATAAGCCAAAAATCGTCCTCAAATTTTGTTCTAAAGAAAGTGCTAAATAACGAGAACAAAGAAAGAAAATTCTTACCAGTAATCTTGTGTAGGTGTATGGATAGTGATAAGCTATAAAACAAGTATCTTTGGAATTAGAAAATGTAATGCAGAAACTCAAAGTTCTGTACTGTTTAGTATTGGTTTTCGAACGAAAATTATTTCCGTAATAAATAATATTTTTCCCCGTCCTTTTCCACCCTACGAAAATTAATAAGTAATAAAGATAAATTCTCATTAGAAAAAATAATTTACCATATCTTTTACGTAAAAAATCCTTAACTGAAAACATAACCGGTTGCATTCCATGATTGAACTGGCTGTTAATTCTTTTGAAATTGATTATATTGAATGAATATGGTTTTCCGGCTTCCATATTCGTCACAGAAAAATAAAACCATTGACTAAAGTTTTCTGTTTTGTAGTCTCCAGTTACCATAAGGTTATACTCGTATTGGCTTACCTGGTACAAAAATACATATAAATTTTCTTTTATAGAACACGTAAAGTAGTCAATTTTCTTAATTACCCTTTCAGCATAACGTAGATTCCCTCCCTCAAAAGTAGAAGAAAATTTTAAACGATGTTCATCTATTATCGAAATCGTTTCGACACTGAAAGAAACACATTAAAATTGTATGTATTATTAAAGGATTTTTGGAATTTTGTTCGCTTTGTAGCCAAACATTTTTAATTGAAAAATAAAAAAGAGACTCATCCAAATTACTGTTTCGCCCATATGAAGAAGTGGACAAAACACGTGTCTACATTAAGAAATGTGCGAAACACGTGTTCATATGAGAAAGTGGACGAAACACGTGTGTATTTATTGTGTATAGTTTTATTTTTTTATTAGACATTTACCACAGGTTTCAATTTCTACTTTAAATACTTTGGTTATATTTCGAACAACTTGAAGATTATTTTTTTATTTACATTATTAAACTTTTCGAAAAATGTTTAGAATAAATGTTGATAATAGTTCAATTTTAAATATTATATTACAAAATATCTAGCAATAAAATTGTAAAACAAATAGTATAGTGGTAATTCTTGTAAACTTGACAAGCGGTAACTTCGTGAAAAATATTTGTATAATGTAGGCAGGATTTGAAATTTTCGTCCAAGTTAAGTAGTTTTCCTGATTTATTATCGAAGTTATCAATTAAAAAGAACGTGAAAAAGATATTGAGTCACGTGCTAATAAAAAAATTAACTAAAAAGATGTTCATTAAGCATTAGCTTACGAACTATTAACTTCGCATTGGAAGCTTATAAGCCTGGTATTTACTAAATATCACGTTCTTCGCGGTTAGTAACCTTTCTTACAGTTACGAGCTATTCGTTTAAGAATTGAAGAGTCACACTTGACTAACAGCAAGTAATTTTTTTTCCGACTTTGATTTACAGGACAGCGAATTACAACAATACAATTGGATGGCGTACAATACTTTATAAGTAGAATGAACCCGTATTCTCCAGAACTTAACTTTTTCTTAGCGTATCAATACTGCAGGTCGTTAGGACTTCAGTTAGCGTCTTTTGAAACTAAAGAAAAGGCCGACTCCATAACGCAATATCTTACAAACGCAGGTAAATAAACACCGCTGGAGTTAGGGCGTTAATTGCATTGCAACAAACAATTGTCCTTTTTGTAGGTTTTAGTAAATTTGATTTTTGGGTGTCCGGTAATAAATTAGGCACTGACATGTATTTGTGGATGAGTACGGGCCTGCCCTTTAATGCTACATTTAATTATATGAAAAAGAACGGCAATGATATTCTGACAAGTGGCAATTCAGCTTATGATTTGCCCATGGGAAGTACAAGTCCACAAAGGACTGCCAGAGAAAGGTTAGTAATCTTAGTTACCTATTTAGTCTAGTTCAGCGTCTCTTAAATCTTTAACTTTTTCATGAAACATATTTAAAATGGTTTTGAGGTCCTTGATAATTTTTTCCTTGTATTTTAAAACCTTCCTTGTCTGAAAAGCTTTTTTATTGCAAGAAGCAATTAAAGTCGCTGGACTTGTTCAAAATACATGAAATTTTTCATAAAAACAAGAACCTTTGGTTGTCGTGGAACCCATCAGTTATTTTCACAGAACCTTCAGGTTTCTTGGAACACAGTTTAAAAAATGCTGATCTAGTCAATTAGTTATTTAGTTGAATTCGGATGAAATTATAATTTTATAACGAAAAAATAATTTCATAGCTGATTCTATATTTAATATTGATTATGTAAATAGCTATTAAAAAATAGAAAATTGCTTTATTAAAAATAGCTTCTGGCAACATATTCTAGATACTAATTTTTGTTGAATTTACTGAAAATATTTTAAAATATCTCTAACACGTATAAATTATTTTTACGTTATACTCGTATTCCATCAGTTTTAATTAAATTAACAAAAAGCACAAAAATTTAGAATAGAGTCAAAAAGGGCTCTGTATACATCGGTTTAGTAGACTTATATACAATCTGTAATAAAAATCGTAATAGTTTAATTTTAAATTAAAAATATGTAGTTGTCCGGCGCATCCACCAAAATTAAAAGGATATCGACAATTCCTTAATTTGGGCTTAATTAGGTCAAGGTTTGGAACAATGTGATCTTGATTTAAAGAACTATTTTACCCTTGCATTTCTTAAAGATTAGATGTTCAGAATAAACATTGGGAGTTCTAATTAATTCAAAGAAAAGCACTAAATGGAAGCCATTGAATTGATATCTCAGTATTAGAAATTTTATTTATTATAATTGTAGCATTTTATTTAGGTGTTAAGTGTAGAAGTAATTTTGTTTTTGTAGCGGAAATGCAGGTTTGGCAAACAGTTGTGTGGCAATGAAGGCTCCCACGTTTGAATGGGACACAGACGACTGTACTACAATCAAAGACTTCATTTGCGAACAGACAAGATGCTACTATTACAACTACGGATCTATTCCTGTATCCACTACGCAGGGGTAAGGGATAAGGTGAGCCCATAGATCGCCGCACCTAGGGTTCAATTAGTAGCATATCATCGGCGAGCTTTACTAATAGTGGTGTAACTCAGAAATACCTCATTCACGTTAATAAGTTATATTTTTAGATTTTATTTTTCAAATAGTCCACTTTTTCATTTATTACTTCCTTGAATTCGTTTGCCAGATTATAAATTGTAAATTGGTCGCTGGCCAAGATGGAAACATGCACTTTCATCACAAAATAAAATTTCTCAAGAAAAAAACACTTTTTACAGTTTTTACGAAATTCTAAAAAATATTTTCTTTCACAGTTTTTAGATCCGGCGTGTAATTATCGGGTAATTAACAATTAAGATAAGTAATCAATCTGCGCTGCAAGTAAGCCGTAACAGTTGCCATATCAAGCGACTTCACTTACTTCTACTTGCAGCAATGAAAGTGCGTCCTGATTGGTTAATACGTGACAGTGAAACACTGCATTAAAAAACTGTAAAAAGGGTAAAAGAATAGTGTAGTTTAACACATAATATATGAGGTGTTTCCTTTTCGCTGTAGATTATTATTTTATTATAGTAGAAGCTTTAAATAGTATCGGTGATTATGCCACTGTTAATGCTTTTGTTATTTTTTTAAATGCCATAATAACTTTGCACAGCTTATAGAGTAATTGTACCTACAGTCCAGTTTTTATTTAGAAATACTTTCCGTTTGTAAGCACCTTTTGCATACTGGATGGTACAAAATGGTAACCTAGGTGGATGGTGGATGGGCGAACACTAAATACTTTCAAATTTTCTTCGATCATATTCTATTTATAATCGAAAAATATGTAATCGTTCAAAGTTTCGTCAACTATGTTGAAATTCTTCAAGAAATCAAGTGTGGTACCTATGTGTTCGAAAATGTCCTTATTCGGGTCTATAAGGTTCTATACGTTTCAATTTTGGTGTAACATGGATTTCTTGAAGAGAATTGAAAATAAGGCGAAACGTTCTGTGTTATTTAAGTAGAGCATGTGTATTGGGAAGTTTAAAGTTTCTTAAAAACTATCTATATTTAAAAAATATTTCGAAATTTTGCCATGTAGTTATTGATTTAGATTTTCTTTTGCGTCTAGAAAAGTTAGTACCACAACAACTACTACTGCAAGACCACCGTTTACATCGTCTTCATATTCAAAGGCAGTGGGTAACAATTATGTGCCCTTCGGTTTAAACGAACTTATAAATAAATTAAAATTAAACTCGAACGATAACGTGAACAATAATAACGCGAACGAAGCAGCGAAGTCAGAAGGAGTGGACAGTGTCGACCTGAAGCACGTGACCAATGGCCCTTACGACACTTTCCATTCCAATGTCGAAATGCAAGATGACCCCGTTGCAACGGCTGATCACGACGATTACGTGTCAACTATTGAACCGGAAGGAGTCACTTGGTTCGCTCGTGTTCCTTAATAATCCGTCCGTTTTTTTCCGGGTGAACAAGTCACGTCAAGAAGATATCGAAAAGTTTAGACAAAGTCGAAAACAATTTTGTAAGTCGAAAAGTCAAGTTGGGGCCGAAACACATTCAAAAGAATCACATTTAACATTTAAATACCAAAAGTTTGAGTTTTCACTGAAACACTTTCGAATGCGATATGTGATCGAATAAGTGAGTTAGGGCTGAAACACATTCGAAAATGTTTGAACAAGTCAACTTGGTGCCGAAACACATTCGAAAGAATCACTTAAATATCAAAAGTTTGAGTTTTCACTGAAGCACTTTCGAATGTGATCGAATAAGTCCAGTTAGGGCCGAAACACATTCGAATGTGGTTGAATAAGCCAACTTGGTGCCGAAACACATTCGAATGAATCACTTAAATATCAAAAGTTTGAGTTTTCACTGAAGCACTTTCGAATGTGATTGAATAAGTCGAGTTAGGGCCAAAACACATTCGAATATGTTTGAACAATTCGAGTTGGGGCCGAAACACATTCGAATGTGGTTGAACAAGCTAACTTGGTGCCGAAACACATTCGAAAGAATCACTTAAATATCAAAAGTTTGAGTTTTCACTGAAGCACTTTCGAATGTGATCGAATAAGTCGAGTTAGGGTCAAAACACATTCGAATATGTTTGAACAATTCGAGTTGTGGCCGAAACACATTCGAATGTGTTTAAACAAGTCGATCTGGTGCCAAAACACATTCAAAAGAATCACATTTAAATACCAAAAGTTTGAGTTTTCACTGAAACACATTAGAATGTGATCGAATAAGTCGAGTTAGGGCTAAAACATTCGAATATGTTTGAACAAGTTGAGTACAGGCCGAAATATTTTCAGATAAGAAACAAAAACCAATTTTCAGCGTAAATATTCTCATCTGTATTGATTTTAAGACATTTTTGGATACCGTATATCTTAAACGTTTTCGGCTACAATTTGCCTATGTTTCGGCCAACTTTCCAGTAAGTTTTCGGCTAATAATATGTCTAATGCCTTTCAAATTCTTCTCCTGGCTGTTTCACCCGAGTTACATTAGTCTTATCGTTAGTATTACCTATATATTGTACGTTTAATAATAATAATTATTTTTACAAAACTGTGTCATTCCTGGTCTCTGTAATATAATTTAATTGTTATCTTAAGAACGCTCACGTTAGGTTGTAAGTCCTTTTAGACCTTCAGGTCCATTGTAGAGGTAATGAAAATACAGTTTACTTAATTAAATAGCTGTTGTTACTATCATAAAATTTAATAACTTTACTTACTGTCCAAGAATAACTCCCTCGGGGTTAAGCATTGGAATTATTTTAAAAATGTAGCTATTTCTGGCTTGCGCTGCCTTTTCATCGTGTTCGTTCAGGAGGAAATCCAGTAAGCCTTGTATGATCCAGGAGGAATTGCTTTCACCAGGATGCACGCGACCGGTAATGAATACAATGGGCCTTTTCTGCAAAAGAAAAATACAATTAGTACCTACATTTTCGGAAGTTATTTAAAATGCCCAAGTGGTTGGAATAATTTTGAGAAATATTTGCTTACATTTTACGTTACTAGAGACGAGTGTGATCACAATAACAACGCGTCCTTTCACTGCGAGAATGTCGAAACAACTATTGACAACAATAGACGCAAGCAAACAAAAAGCTCGACGTTTCTAAACATGTACATTAAAAAGATACGATAGGTCATTTAAAGGGCACAAGCAGAAAATCGTATTGACATAAATAATACAAGGTTTATTCGACTATTTAAATGGTCTAGCTCTTATAACTTATTTGCAAAATTATATCTATGAGCTTTTAGCTACGATTTTAAATTAATATTTCTCGAAAAGTGTAACGAACTAACGCGAAAATTCAGATATTTTTTTTGATTAAATATAAATTTTCTCTAGATTTTTATATAATTTTGAATTCTCAAAAAAAAAAAATAGAAATTAATTTTTTCGCAAGTTCTAAAAAGTTAAGAAATAAGTTAATTATTTTTACCTGTAATTCTTTGGTAGATGATTTCCCAGTGATAGTTATAAGGGGCACTTCGTTTGATTTGATTGTGTTACACAATTTGTCCACTCTAACGTAAATGGAATCTTCAGCAAGCTTTTGATAATTTAAGTAGATATTGGTCTGAAACACGCGAAAACAAGCACGTTTATTTATTATAGATGCATCCAGGGTTTCGCCCTAAATAACGAGTAAGTTTTCGTAAAAAAATGACTGAGATATAAGCCAAAAATCGTCCTCAAATTTTGTTCTAAAGAAAGTGCTAAATAACGAGAACAAAGAAAGAAAATTCTTACCAGTAATCTTGTGTAGGTGTATGGATAGTGATAAGCTATAAAACAAGTATCTTTGGAATTAGAAAATGTAATGCAGAAACTCAAAGTTCTGTACTGTTTAGTATTGGTTTTCGAACGAAAATTATTTCCGTAATAAATAATATTTTTCCCCGTCCTTTTCCACCCTACGAAAATTAATAAGTAATAAAGATAAATTCTCATTAGAAAAAATAATTTACCATATCTTTTACGTAAAAAATCCTTAACTGAAAACATAACCGGTTGCATTCCATGATTGAACTGGCTGTTAATTCTTTTGAAATTGATTATATTGAATGAATATGGTTTTCCGGCTTCCATATTCGTCACAGAAAAATAAAACCATTGACTAAAGTTTTCTGTTTTGTAGTCTCCAGTTACCATAAGGTTATACTCGTATTGGCTTACCTGGTACAAAAATACATATAAATTTTCTTTTATAGAACACGTAAAGTAGTCAATTTTCTTAATTACCCTTTCAGCATAACGTAGATTCCCTCCCTCAAAAGTAGAAGAAAATTTTAAACGATGTTCATCTATTATCGAAATCGTTTCGACACTGAAAGAAACACATTAAAATTGTATGTATTATTAAAGGATTTTTGGAATTTTGTTCGCTTTGTAGTCAAACATTTTTAATTGAAAAATAAAAAAGAGACTCATCCAAATTACTGTTTCGCCCATATGAAGAAGTGGACAAAACACGTGTCTACATTAAGAAATGTGCGAAACACGTGTTCATATGAGAAAGTGGACGAAACACGTGTGTATTTATTGTGTATAGTTTTATTTTTTTATTAGACATTTACCACAGGTTTCAATTTCTACTTTAAATACTTTGGTTATATTTCGAACAACTTGAAGATTATTTTTTTATTGTATACGCGAGATATTTTTATAAATAAGGAAAATAAAAGAAAATTTTTGGACAAAGAAAAATCTTGATGAATCAAAATCAAATTATTCAATCGTATCGTAATTATTTGAACATTCTCAAAGTTCATAACAAAAAGTATATTATGGGGGTCTAAGGGCGTTTCAGCCCAAATAATAATTCTGCTATAGATCAAGCCTAAAGTTCTTATAATTTTTTGTTACCTGGAAAATCCGTTTTCTTCGTTGTCTTGTTCAACAAAATATACTGTCGGATAGACTCGGGGTGGTTCAAATTTGAGACGACAAAGTTTGCCAGCAAGAGTTTTACTAAAAATAAAATGAGTTTATATTATAAATTACACCTACCTGATGTTGAGTTACTTACGTTAATTGCTTACTTGTACTGACACAAATTGTTTGGTTGTTGTCGGAAGGATCGGCGTCGACAAGCATTAAATCCGGATGAGCGATTGATTTTGTGAAACTGTGCTTTTGTGTTTGTGAAAATAAATAGTTATAAACAGTTGAAGGCGAAGAATTCGACGTCGCGTTTTCGTTTAGGAATGCTTCGAGTTTTTTAAATATTTCAAGATTGTTCGTTTTGGTTGGTTTATATGCGTAGTCGTCAGAGGGTTGTAGTTCGGAAAAAAACGGCTCCAATCTAGAAGAGGGTGATATTGGCCCAATTTTTTTTATCGCAATTAGACTTACTTGTGTTTAGGCAATTCTGGTTTGTTTCTTTCTATGTTAAGCTGCATATTTTCTGACTCAATCTCATCATCAAAGTTTCTTGAGTCGTAACTATCACTATCAAAGTTCTCTTCATCATCTTCGCTTTCATCAATATCGTCATTTAACGGATTTTCGAAACAATTTGCGTTTTGTACTATAAATAAGTTGACAAATTATGAATTTTTGTGCTGGATCTTGTATATTTAATTAAAATATAAATAGGCATGATTTCAAGAGGTTTTGCATCTGTTTTTGAAATTTACTTGCCATAACCACTGCGTAAATATTACATATATTTCTTGGCACTACTTTGTAACTTTTGTTTATGTCCGTTGCCGCAAATTGTTTAATTATTTTCAATGAAATGTAACGAACGTGTGCCATATGCGTACAATGAATTCTACTTACATTCCTTCAGAACATTATCACTAAAATTTATGCTATAATAATCGGGTTCGCGTGGAAGATTTCTTTTCGGTATAGACCGATTTAAAATTGTGAACGCTTTTATTTTTGTCATCCTGCATCGGTCATCGTTTTGTAAAAAATATTGCAATAGTGCATTCCAATATTCTTCTGATGACATTATTTTGACCCCTTTATCTATGGAGAAAGTTGAAGTTAATTTATTTTATTTACTATAACAGCAACTAATTGCGTACCAGTTCCGGTTATTCTGTACAGAATTATCATAAGATTTTTCTGTATTTGGGGCTTGTTATCTTTAATATGTAGTTGGTGAATAATAAAGTCGAATAAATTTTCAGACTGGCTTATATTTTGCAGTGAGAAAGCTAAAAATTAAAGTACAATTACTTTGAATACGTATTAGTTCTGCATTTGCAAAAAATAACTTACAATTTTGTATAATATGTTTAAAAATTGAAACAGTAAGCGAAATCCTCCCAGTTGTATAGAAAGCTTTACAGAGCCAGTTTGCAAAGCTTTCGGAGCACACGGTTTGACAATTTTTTACTAAATAATACATGTGCTAATATTTAATACTTATTAAAAATATCCACTGCTTAATATGAAATGGTAGAAAATATGCGTCCAAAAATGACCAAAATCTTTAAATAAAAATTGTGGTTATTATTAATGTTATTGTGTTCCTTAAAATAAATTTGGTGTTTTTTAATGAATATGCTAAAATTTATTTCACAGCTAATATTAAAAATAGCCGCTGTCTGAAAAGGTGTGGTATTTTTTATCTTTAAGTAAGGATTATGGTAAAGATTAAACAGAATTTTAGCGATTTCTACTGTAACCATTGGGGTTTATTTCGTAGATAATATCAAAAATATCAATTACTAAAAATTCTTTTTTAAGAGAACTGTTAAAACTTATTTCACAGCTAATATCAAAAATAGCCGGTATCAGAAAAGATGTGATGGTTTTAATCTTTAAATAAAATATTTGGTGGTCGAAATTGTAGCTAAGCTGATCGATTTGGTGATTTTATTAATGGGGTGAGGGTTTTGTAGCTTGGGGGTTTTATCCAAACAAAACGGAGATAGTTGGATAGTTGTTTTTACAAATTACTTACGATTTTTTAAATATAGGGTGACCATAATTTTCATGACCTTTCTCATGTGTTCGTGTCTTAAATCATTTTTGTCAATTGTGTAACGTTTATGCGAAAGGCGAAGGCTGGCCAAAAAGTTTTTAAAAATGTCTGGTTGTCGGAAATGTACAAAAAGAATCTCACGATCGCTGTCATTTATAATACTGTTCTTATTTATAAGCTTCGATAAAATATCCAAAGCGTAAGAGAACTCTTTTGTGTTTCGAGAGACCTGTAAAACAATTATTAGATCTATTTCAGTGAACAATTATTTACGTAACTGGCGTGCAAATTCGAAATTGGAGATGTTTGAATTTAATGTTTCACGTAAATTATAATTTGTTACCGATGCCAAGACATTTCTGCTCGGTAACAATCACTTTTATTTTCGGAAACCAGAGAAAAGTTCAATGTTTCCGATTAAAAACAAACACGAAATGTCGTAAATTTTGTTCTAGAAAATTAGCTATTTCTCGTTCAAATGGCAATCGAAAGCAAATGTTTCTCTTGGCAAACGTTTCATTTAACTATTTAACAACCGTGAATTTGTACAGTTAAGTGCACAATAAGTGCAGTACGCAACGAAATGTGCTTTTGTTGGATACCAAAACAAATGGGAACGACGTAAATATTACTTTAAGGTTTAGTTATCGATTACCTAGGATTATAAAGGAATAGAATTTCATGACAAATCGAACGATAAAATTCCCTTTAAATTACTATTTGTCGAATGTGTGTTTTGTATTCGATTGGACCCCTTATGATATAAATATATCCGCATATTTTAGAAATTAAAATACAGTTATTCCAAGATAGTTGTAGTATCTGCTCAAGCACATGGCACCATTGGATATTTGCCAGAAAAGCAAGACGGTGGTTGTTTATCACACTTGTGTCGTGAACGTAATTATAAAGATTGATAGTTCGATGTGTACAATATACGGTAATTCTTTTGGAATAGTAAAAGAACAAAACATAAAGGGTGGTAATAAACAAATTTCTTTGTCCCAAAAGGAAAAATATGTGTTGTATGAGTTTGGACTGATTATTTATTTAAGTACAAAGATATGTTTTTAATTTATAATTTCCTATTTTTATCAAAATGTTTTGATAGCATACGCCTATGTTTTATTTCTGTATTATACATATCGAGTCCAAAACAGAAACTTTTGTTCTAACTCAAAACTAATTTCGTTTGTAACTTGTTGATGTGTCCACGTATATACTAATGGAGTTTAAACAAGAGAAGAAATGGAATTGTTTTAAATCCGGACCTGTTCTTTTTGTTGCTACAACATAGATAGCATTTGTTAGCGAAAACGTCCGCCTTCCCTCGTAATTCGAACGTCAGAGTAAACGCCGATAATCCAAGTATTGGCACGCAAAATAAGAACTTTTAATGAGTTAACATTTTCAAAAACCGCAAATTACTGTTGTTCGGAAATCCTGCACGGAGAGAAAACCTATTAATCTGTTCTTTAATGTATGTGCACATTAACAATTAAAACATTTCGAGATATTTTTAGGTTTTTCGTAGTCAATTATTTTCAGTCAAAAAAGATCGCCAAGTTCTAACGCCTGACAAATTTATTGTGATTGTAATGAATGTGACATTTATAATTCATTGTCTCGTGATAAATAATTGACATCTTACCTTTAATAACATCGTTAAGGTAGCAGGTATCGACGGATGCTTTGTCAGGTATTTACCTGTAAACATTGCAACCTTTGACACTGAAACAAAGATCGACTATTATCCAATATGTCAAGTACTCATCGTGAAGAAGAAAATTGTCTTAGTTGTACATATAAATATTGCTTTTTGTCTCAAATTTATATAATTAACTTACATTTTGCGGTGGATGTGTAAGATAATAGGATCCATATTTTGTATAATATTTTTAAATATTCTTCACGTGCTGTGTCATCTGTCGAGTAAAATGAGTAATTCTTAATTTTTTCGCATTCATATCGGATACAATTTTCATCTGAAAAAATCATTTTTATAGAGGCGTAAATAGAAAAACAAAAAAAAAACTTTCATGATAAATTGAGTAGCTTTTGAGAAAAAAAAAACGAATATTTTCGGTTTCTATTTTCGTTAACGAAAGTTGCCGAAAAGTTAGAAACTTTTTAGGAGAAACTTATTTAAAAATCACAGGTTGGTGGAAAACGTATGAATAGAATTCTGACTTTTTTTTTGTTTTTAATAAAATCATGCATATCGGATATACTTTACAGTTTGGGCAAAGATCACATATTTCAGTTGCGGACATTGTTCATAATAAGATTTATATTCAGTATACTTGAACGACTGTGCCGCATCAACTGAAAAACCTCTTCAACGTCGGGAAATTTAAACTTCAAGCAACCCAATTTACTTGGCAAACGCTTTATCGTTTCTCAGTAACGCCCTCCGTTTGTTATTATTGACGCGACAGCGGAAAAAACTTCACGAAAATGCTCCTACAATGCATGCAATTTAGCATTAAACTAGTCAACAGTTAACTGATATCCCGTTAGTCATTTTCCCATTTGAACCATCAATTATCAATAGATTATATGTCTGTACAGTCCATCGCAATAAAACTGAGTCAATCAAAAGTTTGCAGGAATGGCTACATTGATTTATTAAAGGGAAACTAATTTCTTTTTGTAGTTTCTAAAGAAAAACACGCTTTGTAAAATCACTCGCGTGCCTGCTTGTCCGCCTGTCAGAGTTGAATGTCTCACAAATCAGAAATTTAAAAAATATTCGTATTCATGGTAATTAAAGAACAAGAAGTTAAAGTACCATCAGTTTTCTTTTTCGGATTTTATAGTTTTCATTTGGTTATTTGTGAAAACAGGAAAGCTGAAAATTTTAAATTTTCTTAAACTTTACGATTAATCTTTCTTGCTTTTAATTGTATTTGAAGTGAATAAAAAGAAAAAATTCAGTTGTCTTAATGAATAAAAAATTGTATTACATATACATTAACTTTTGGCGTCGACTGGGGGGCTCTACCGCCCCTGTTGGATGTCTACAGTCTGGAGAAGGTGAAACACAATAAACTATGATATAAAAAATTTTCTCATTCAACAATTTTTTCTTACCTTTCGGTACCCACATTACTATACGGTGAATTATTATCCTATACAAACACAATTTTAATTCCTTTCAAATTTCCAAAGGTTTGGGGATTACGTTATTTCTTTATCTGTTTGTACTGATTTTATCATTAAAATTTCATTTCGTGTATCTTGTCTTCACCTGAAATAAATTGTGTCAAAAGTGTTCAAAGTAAGAAAAGTTTTTCGTTTAAATCATTTTTTTTTTATTTTTGTTCTAACCTACCGTTCTTTAAATACAAGAAAATCAAAGGAAGTTCTGTTGAACTAAAACTCCGAAATTTCACATATTTAAAACAGGTTTCGACGCTCGAGATCTCACCCTCAATAAATCATCTCGTTTTTTGAAGAAAAAGTTTTTCTGTTTCAATTTTCTTTGAAATAATATTTATTAGAAACGAATTGCACAGTGGCGTAACTAGAGTTAGTAGCGCCCGAGGATGCCACAAAAAGCCGTGAATCTTTTGTGTGTTGGTTGCACGTAGCGTGACCTTGAGACCCTGAGGAAATCCGTTAAACCCACGAGTGGATGTTATTAAACCAATCAGAGCGCCGCATTTCAGCTGAGGTGCCGAGATGCATGACGGGATTTAAAACACTTCCGGTAACTCGAGCTTTGAACTGACGGCATTTACCACAACAGCTCCCATCGTCCCCTCTATTTACGCCACTGCGTCCGGAAGTTTGGTTTTAATTTCTTCGTATTAAATGCTAAATAATTTGAACTTTAGCATAAAATAACAACCGGCATCATAAAACCCATCACAGGCTATTTATAGTTGGGAATTATGGAAAGAATAATAAAATTTAATCACCCACTGGAAATGGAGCGACGCTTTTGTAATGGTTAACATTAAAATTTGCTTTTACCTCATTTATTTTATTTGCATATGTTTGTAACAAAGTACAATGTGTGTACCTTTGTCTATTTACGATACCACTACCTACAGTCACATTTATTTAACGATAAGTACAAAATAATTAATAAAATAAAGAGCCCACTAGGACGATAGAAACATAAATAATAATCGACGCTGAATTACCAATACCCAATTTTATGATATAATATGATTAATACAGAAACAGTTCAGACTGTTTCTATCGTTTAAAGTTTCAAGTCGACCAAAGCTTTGACAACTTCGCTCACGTCACCCCTGTGACGTTCCAGCAACTGAGTCAAAATTCCACTTGAATTTGAAAAGCCCATCTCATGTAATCTCGTCAGTCCTTCGGCAATAACTGGATCTGGAAAATGCCGTGTTAATAGCACGGTACTATTCACATTATGAAATTGCAACTTACTGCTGTGGTAAATGATTGTAGGTGTTGGGGCAGCTGGTTGTTGAGAACCGTTATTTTCGCTGGGAGATGTGGGATGGGGATTTTGGGTGTTTTGGGCTACAAACGCCCAGCCGGGTTCGGCTGGTTTCTCCTGATTTTGAGGCGTCGGCTGCTGCTGCTGTTGTTGTTGTTGTTGTGGCTGAGGAGGAACTGTGGGTTGATCTTGCTCCATCGGCGTTGCAGACGCAGTTTCTTGAGAAGCAGGCTTCTGATTGGAAGTTTGATCGGCGCTTTCTGGAGTAGTATTCTTCTGTTGCTGTTGCTCTTGTTGTTGGTTGGGATTTTGAGGACCATATCGGCCTATCAAACAAGAACTAATGTTATCTAAGTACGTAAAGATGTCAACAGAAAACGTACCGAAAAATCCATCAACGGCGTTCTGTATCACGTCGAAAAGGAGCGGCTTTTCCCCTGCACCTCCCTGAGAATTTCCTGAAGCCGATGACGGGGGACTGAACATGTTCAAAATTGGGTCTCTGCAAAATTACATAATAACATTATCCAAATAAACTAATATTTGCGGTGACGTACAAATGTTGCCTTGCTAGAGCGCCAAGGTTGTGGAAGTCCTCCATATTGACCCTCTCGCCTGACGAGAAAGGACACCCGCCCTCGTAGTTGTTATTATTGTTTTGTCCACCACTAAAGGGGCATCGTCCGCTGAACGGTGGCGGTTGTTGCTGTTGCTGCTGTTCGTTGGTTTTGTTCTCGGAAGATTCGCCGAGTTTCTCGTCGCATTTCTTCGTCTGTGAAGACTCGCATCCTTTCTGACCGTATCTGGTGAACTTGTGCGAATCTTTGCGCGCGGATTTGATGTTCCTCTTTATGCAGCGGGTAATGTCATGAACGAATCGGCGATTTAACCGTGGAAAGAAGTCGCTGTTCACCATGCGTACCATCAAGTGCTCCCTATGGTATCCCTTGTGCTCACAATCCTTGCAAAGATCGAAATCAGGACATTGCAAGCAATTGTAACGGAATCCTTCAATGGTGCGTTCGCAAACATCGCAAATTATCACTCTACGGCCAACTGTACGAAAAAATTACGAAATTTAACTTTTGTTAATAAAAGATGGGTAATGTTAGTTGCGTTTACCGTTGATGTCCGCTTCCAGAGTGATCGGTTCCTCACGAGTTTCTTCATTCTTATTCAAAATTGTTATGAAAAGCATTTTAATATTCCCGACCATTTCAGTCAAAGCTGTTATCAGGTCTTCGTCATTCGCTATGGTTATTTCATCGCCATCACTGTCTGTATTTTAGAAAAATGATTAATTTGTTTTTGTGTGTTTCTCGGTTCATTTTTTAAAACAATTAGAAGGGGAATGATCATTAATGTGAATTGTTGGGATAGAGAAGTTGTCGATAAAGGATTGAGTATATAGGGATCGTTCGTTATTACCTTTCCATGTAATCTTGTAGTCGGCTTCACGTAAAACTGGGAATACTGACAATAACTTTTCATTCAAGAACATAAAATTTGTTACTACTGGAGCATCGATACTGAAACGACGTGTGTCCGTTGTTTCTGAATCGCGTAGAAAAACTTTGAAGTTAATGACGTTATTTTGTGCCATATTGTCTGCTGTTGATCACCTTCTTAATGCCTACGGTTGTAACACAAAACAAAAATCAATTCGTCGTGGTTTAATTTTAGATCACACTCTCAAACTCAATATTTTCTATGCATATGCCTCTCCATTAGAGATGGCGGCACATTTTTTACTAATTAAAATTTAAAGACAAACGAATTAGGCCGAACGTGAAACAATGGTACGATAGACTATATGTATAAATTAAAAATATAATTTTCTTTTGTTATAGAAATTCGTACAAAAACAAACGCCACAAACGAAAATATTATTTGAATCAAAGGTTTTCTTAGTACAATTACCCTGTCGGCCTTGTAAAAAATTTTTATTAATGTAGACAGTTAAAAAAGCAAGCAATCAAACTATTGTTGTATTGTTTGCCGATATCGATCATGAACTCTTAACGTTCAGTTTTTGTTCACCTTTTTTTTGCAATAATTATTTTTTTTTATAACTGAATTTTCATAACGAAGAAATCCAAAATTAATAGGTAGTCACATAAAATTTAATAAACCATTTAAAAATATTTAGGTAAATATTAAAATAAAACGATAGAATACATGAAATTTTAACACTTTCAATTGCGCAATTAAAAAAATATTAGAAAATATAAATATTTCATTAAAATTTCATGCCAATTATAATAAAAAAATTAAAAACGCACGTAAGGCGGTACAGAAACGAAAAATCAAATTAAATAAAATGGTAAAATTGATTGGTAAATACTCACAATTTATTCACGATGAGCTGGTTGTACACACAAACGATGCTGAATAACTACAAGGCTATCTGATAAGCAACTTGGTTTTATAGTACCGGAAAAACTTGCTTGTAATGACAATCAGGGCAACCAAAACAACTCAGAATCTCTGTTTATGTTTTAAAGTACAAAAGTTAACGAAAATTTTTTCCAGTGTGTTGTTACTACTGAAAAACAATGAATGATTCATCAATATGGCGACTTAAGTAACTGATTGCGCGAAGTCATTGCCTACTAGATACTAATGATCACTCATACGTACGAGAATCTTCTGGTTCATTCTAGCAGTTTGTTGATGCAACTATGTGAAATAAAGTTTTTTTATGCATAAAATAAATACTTAAACCCGTGTAAGTTTATGAAATCATTTTCGGAAGTTTCAAACTTTCACTTTTAAACGCGAGTCATTCACCTTTATGGCAAATGTGGGACAATGTTAACACTGTTAAATAACATAGCGTTTAAAATGTCCTCTTTATACTTATAAATAAATGGTACATGATATCACGCAAAATGGATTAAAAATGGAAAACTAGAAAATTAAATTTCTTTAAATGTAACACCTGTAGGATTTTAAATAAGTAAATCAATTAATTTTTGCGTGTAAGATTATGAGAATTCAAAATTTGAATTACATACTTATTAATTGAACATTTATACTTTGGTAGAATTAGACAATAAACCACTTTTAATTAAAACAAAAGTGTTTTTGAAATCACTGAATTTTCATACCTATACATATAAAAATAAAGAAACTAAATGCTCAACCACAAAGTTGCCGAAGTATTTAATTCGATTTCAGATTAGAAGTTGGGGTTAATTAAGTAAATCAAATTGCAGTGCAAAGTTATTATAGATATTTTGATGATAGGTATCCATAGCTAATAGAGTTAAGAAAGAGAGATATTCTTCTCTGATAAAGAAACATCGGTATTTTTATTTACATGTATTTCACAATAAACAGATAATTTTAACAAACAACCCAAAAGTATAGCTATATGAAAGCATTCTCTAACACGTAATACTATAAATTGAATTTCTTTTTTTGTATGTGGGATTTTAAACAACAATGTACTGTAGGACTTACGACTTTAATTAACAATTTACTTACATACACGTACGTGTGCACTGTTTCAAATTGTTTTGAAGCATTTTCTTTTAATTTCTTTTCTGAATAAAATAAGTAGATGTATTTTACTTGATTATATTAGGTATAGTTTTGAGCCAATCTATCAAATATATAGTATTGCTTTTAATTTTTTATTGTGCTGCAAATTTTACCTCAAAATTGGTAAAAAGAAAATTAAAGTAAGCACAAATTATCTGAGTATAAATGAAATAGAAAAAATACATTTATACATAGTGCACATTAAAAAAATCAATAAAAATAAAATACTGTCATTATTTTAAGTGATTAAGTGGTAAAAGAATGAGAAAAAAACGTGTGGGAAATTGGCAATAACACATTGGTGTTATTGTTTTAAAATTTCGGTATCACTTTACCACATAATTGTCTTTGTATTTGTTTGAGTAATTGCAAGATCTTTTTAGAAGGCCGCCTGACTCATATATCTAATCAGAAGCGATAAATTGGATTTTTTTATCGTAAATACAATCGCCAAAAAATTTTGATACTTTTGTTTTCAGTAGATACAATAGAAACTTATACCTATTAAAGAAAACGAAAGTTTAGATTTACATGTAAACTACATGTATGATATGTCGTATTAGGATATTTTCACGATAGCAACGATTGCCGATTATTGATTTGTAATTGTTGATATGCAAAGAATTCGTCTAATAATCCTAGAAATTCAACAAAAATTACTTTCATATCAAGCTATTGGCAATATATAGCTACCTAATGATATTTCCTGTTATCTGTAGTATTTAAAGTGTAAGGGATTTTATCATAAATTATGTAACGCAAAGTTCATCAAATTTTCACCCCCTTCCCCTCACGTATTATGATCACCTCACTCCCCAATTCTGTTACGTCCGCCATTTAGGTTTGAATTCAAAAAAGAATGATTTTCTAATTTACAGTCATATTTTTTTTAACTAAACAATTACAATTTCAAATCAACATTATCTGATGACACGCAAATCTTGTTTCCCGCCACCCCCCGTTTAATAGGATCGTAATACCCCCCTATCCACCAATATACGTTACGTAATTTAAGGGCAACCCCTAGCTACCCAAATTACAAAATATGGAAAGCTATTTCAACATTATTAGCTTTCTTCAGCACTCTGTAGGTATTTGCGATAATTCACAGATCAAACGTGCTGATGGGAACTAATAAGTTCGAAATCTGTTAAAGAAAATAAAATAGCTTCCTTTTTTATAATCGCCAGGAATTTCTCCTGGATCAATTAGAAAACTTACCTTGAGGCTAATTAAATAAATTTAAATTAAGTCATCAACGAATACGCAGTATCTGTACCTATTATTATAATAATAAAAGCAACAAAATAAAAAAAAAAAAAACAATAATGAAATCGATGAAAATAATTTTTATTCGTTGAATTATTTTTTGTTCTTGTTGATGGATTTGTGTTAGTTTCTTTCTTATAAAATAACGAAGTATGAATAGATTGATTATGAGATGTACGTTTGATTTTCTGTTTAAGTTATTAGTTTTTGTGACAATTAACTATTTTTAATTGCGTTATTCTTTTAGTAGACATATACCCTGTGTGGAGTTCAATGTTAATTTCAAAATGCGCCAATGTAGTAATACTATTTGTACAGCTGATTCGCTTTTTTCGGGCGTAATGTACAGTGACCCTCAAAAAAGGTGAAAATAACGGCGGTTGTTATTTCTGGTCACTGCATTTTCGTGTGTGGTATGTAAGTACTATGTATTTAATAATTTACGATTAACAATAGGTACATAAAATCTAGTTACTTAGTTTCTTAGTAGTACATACGTACATACAGATTAAAAATGAAATGTATATACATATGTAGTAGGTACGTCATTATAATTGGGTTGTACGTTAATAAGCGTATACGGCATGAAAAACTAGTCTATATACACGTTTACAAACACGTACATAATGCTCAACATTCGTGCATGTGTGTGTGTAAACGTAAATTTTATTTTTTTTATTTTTCTTTTTTTAACATCGACTTTTCTTCTTTTTTTTTACGCTGAAAATTAGTTTAGATAATCAGTCTCAAATCTCGACAGAGAGAGTCAAGAACAATTTACAAATACATTTACATAGGTAATCTAAGCGAGTCTATCTCTAAATTTCGTTATCGTGGCAAAATTCTATCTTTTTCGGACTAATATGTTTTAATAGGTTCAGGGGTCTGGAACTGATGGAGACATGCTTTACACAACCCTCGAAACCTTTGTAGTACGCCGATGGAAGCCCAGGTGGTAGCGAAGGCATTCCACCTACAACAAACACCCCATATACGATATACAACAAACGGCCATATAAGTATCATAGTAAAATCTTATAATCGATACACTAACCAAATTATATATGCCCAAGGAGCAAAGAAATAAGGTCAGTTTGGATTTTGCAATGCCGAAAAAAGGCCAGTGAGAGCACAGAAATCAAATGGGATGTAAAAAGTAAGCCAAAGAGATGCCGAAAATAGGCCAGAGAGAATATAGAAAGAAGGCGAGGAAGGATACCGAATATAGGCCAATAACAGTCCCATAAAAATGAAAATATATCAGTGAGAGTAGATAATAAGAGTAATTAGGAAGCCTACAATAGGCCACTGATAGTGCCACAAGGAGACTAATTCAAATGCTGAAAATAGGTCAGGGAAAGCATAGAAAGAAGCTAAATAAGATTTCTGGTTTAGGCCAGTAAGAGTTCTACAAGAATGCCAATTAGGAAGCTAAAAACCAGGCCAGTTAGAGCACAGAAACATTGAGTGTGATGCCGAAAAGAAGTAGGCTAATTCGAATGTTGAAAATAGCTTGTTAAGAGGAAGTACAAAAGGAATGCTAAACAGGATGCCGAAAATGGATCAATGAGAGAGCAATACAGAAAAAATGGTAAATATAATGCCAATAATAACGGGCCAATGGCGGTGTCATAAGGACAATTAGGATGCTGAAAATGGATCAGTGAGAGAGCCGAAAAATACCAGTAGTGATGCCGAAAAAGTTCCAGTTGAGATGCCGAAAAACAGGTATGGGAAAATCAATTAGGATGCTAGAAGGATGTCAGTATGTGCCAAAAGGATTAGCATTCGAGGCGTCAAAAACAGGACAATATAATGTACAGAAAAAAGACAAACTGGAGTGCCGAAAAGAACACAACAAGAGTATTTAAAATATTCCCAGCGGTAGTCGAAAATTGGTTAATTTGCATTGATAGCAAATGGACTACAAATGGATCAATTATAGTGGCAGGAAATATCAACAAATAAAGGTTTCAGTTTGTTAAAAATTATCCCTTTTTGGTTCTATTATAGAAATTTTTTTTAACATCTAGATGTTGCTTTTGTTTGAAGTTTTCAAATTGTAAAAATCATTTTTTTTTACGAAAACTTCATTAAAGGACTATTTATAAATCTACACAGTGTGATAATAACTGTAAGTTATCTACTTACCTATCCATAGCTTCGAATTTGTACTTAATGTAAGAGCCCCATTATTTGACACCCCTTTAGCGGGCGTTTCATGGTCTACCGATATAAAACCCATTTTCTTTCTTCGTCTAACTTCCAGTGTGTGCCACTCTCCGTCATCAATTCTTCGTTTGGTTCTTAAACGTTATAAACATTATTAGCGGCGCAAATTCACACTTACCTTTAGTCATTAATCGTCGAATAATTAAGTATTCATCAGTTAATAAAATTTGTAAACCTTATAGCCCAGAAAGCCTTTTGTTTTCCTAAATTGTAACTTAGTTCAGGATAGCCATTTACTATCGCCACGGAGAAATAATCTTCCTGAATACTTCTAGTTTTGCTTCTCCAAAGGAGCAGTCCATCGGACGCAAAAGTTCGTAGTTTGAAGATGTACTTGTTGCCTCTCTCAGCCTTTTTCCTAAACGAAATAATACTTATAGGCAATTAATTAAATTAAAAGCTCTAGCGCAACATTTGCTCAATTCTAAAGCGTATGAAGTCATGCTTTGATCTTAGTTGTTTTTAATTTTCTATAGACTACATCTAGGTATGTATAAGTAAGCGAAGCAGCTTTTGTAGCGAATACAGACAAAAGTTAGGTACCATGGAAAATCAAAATCAGAGTACGATTCAGTTGGTTCGTAACCGAAATCCAATTCGTAATCTTCTAATACTTCTAAATACTCTTGCTCCGCATAGTCTTCTTCATAATCATAAAATGTTTCGCTAAAGGTTAGTAAAAGAAGTTAGTAACAATTTTGATACATATATTAGTAAGTAAAAGCAGCATTATTTAAAAGTACTTAAATAAAAATGTTTACAACAAAAGTTGTGTAAAGTACTTATATATTTTTTGGCAATTGCGTGAAATCGATTAGGCATAACATAAATTGGTACAGTTACGTCAGGGTTGGATTGGGTTAGGTTGTTTTAGTTTCTTTTTCTTTTGGAAAATCTTTAGCCTGTCCTGGCTTCTAGCCTGACATTGCTACGGATTTCAAAATTTCAAACGGAAAATTTTTGAGTTGTACTGGCATATAGTACTACCGAAAGGATCCTACTAGATCCTTACGGAAAATGGCTCCATGTCATACTCTATAATTTCTTCTAATTCTGGTAGTTCTCAACGTGTTAGATTAAAAATCTCAATTGACGAAACTTATCTTTTTGGGATATAGTCCCTTAAAGTTGCATTCTTGCAAAAAATGTAATTTTAAAGATGGTAATTCATCAAGTTACTTCAATCGAACGGAAATTATAACTCAATTACAACTTTTGTTTTAATTGTCTGGACGCCTTCACCAAAATTTTCAATAACATTTTAATAATAGCTGAAAAGTTTTTTTATCTTCAGTAACGTCTCATTTTTGGTATTGAAACAATAATTTACATTAAAAATTAGTTAAATACTCCAAACGAAAACGTGTAAGGGTTTTTAACTAAATATTTCAAGATGATATCATTAAAAACATATCGATTCAATTGATTATTTTTACGTAATATTTTGTGAATTAAGTATCAAGTTTCACGTAAGAAAAACGTTTTTTGATTTTCTTGGTAATTATTATTAAAGTTGTAACATTTCATATATACTTGGTTGTTTATGTATTATATTACAAGTTATAGTATTGCAGTAGTTTAATTGCAAAATAAAAATATACATTAACATCGTTAACTGCGCCTACGTGGAAAAATATAATTTAAGGATAAAAATTCGTCAGTCTACTTCAATGAAATACGAAAGTTTGGATATAATGACTCCGTTTAAAATGACATATCGTTTATTATGACTGATTCTCAAGAAATCATATCCGACTATAGTCACCCAAATGATTAATAATCACATTTTAGCTCATTTTTCTGACCTTTCTTATATTGCAGTTCATCATTCTTTTTCTTTTTCTGTTAATAAACATATGGAATTTGTAGTTTTTCTCTCTATTAAACTAAATAACTAATCAAAATAGAAAGTTGTTTATTTTCTAAGACTTCGATGTCATTATAAGCGGATTCTAATGTATGAAATGAACAAAATTTATACATATTCGGCTCGACACATATACCGATTGGGAAAGACACAAAGTTGACATTCAAAGGACGAAATAAAGACTGTAGTAAAAGGGGAAAACAAAGGGAGATAGAGATGTTACCTGGATCCTAACTTCGGAACGTATTGATCTTTGACAAAGAACGAATGACGATACTTTTTCTTGTTCTTTTTATAGCCGGATTTCGACCTGCTTAAAAGATTTTCCCAATCGGTATGTGAAAGAAAATATGTGAGTTTATTTTGCTTAGAGTTTTCCGGGAGTGTCGAAAAGGAAAATAGGAGATAAAGTAAATTAAAATGTGTTTATTGAAGCAACTTACTTTTTGTATCCCCGATTTCGGTATTGCAGAAAAGTTTCGCCGGTGAATTTGACAGAGATGCCTTCTTCTTTGGCTGTGAAAAGAGAGAGAGAGAGAAGGCATATTAATTAGAGAGTAGTTAAGCTGCAAATCCACGTGAGCTTACCGATTTGACAGTGTTTTCCTTCGAAGCTGGGCGGGCATTTACAGATGTAATCGTCTAGATTTGGGATGCACAGACCGTTATTATGGCACGGAGTTTTAGATGAAACACACGGAGGACCATCGTAAAGCCCAACTCCGGAGCTGCAGGTGGTAATGTTTTCAGGTAGAGAGGAACATTCCGGAAAGTTGGCCGAAATCGGTATCGACTCTCCATTTACTACTAATCTTTGTAATGCTCCTTTAAATCCCTTGTTTGCTTCGGATAAACGATGAATTTCTCGCCACGATCTGCAAAGGGAAAGGTGAACATTTCTGGACATGGATTTATGCGTTAATGTTGTTTTTACTCGACGGATCCAATAAAAAACGGTAATTCCAGGTTTAGGTCGGTCAACGATGCTCCCGACCAACCTTTTTCGATCGACGAATCGTCCAGTTGCAAGAAACCCTCCCTGCCATCCCTTAGCACTCGAAGACGATGCCATTTATTAATTTCAATTGGTTTGCTAGAACTAGAACACGTAATATCAATGGATTGTATTATAAAAAAAAAAACGATTCAATTATTACTTACGTTATATTTGCAATACCACTGCCCAAATTGAATCGGAATTGAACAAAACCTCCTACAAGATTTACAGATATGAAATCACCTTTGTTTTTCTTTTTTTGGCCGTTATATAAGATGAGACCGTTTAATGATTTACTAAGAAAAACCACTTCTAACGAAAATGTTTTCATAACGCCCTTAAGGGTGGGTAGCTTAAGGTAGCTTGATCCGTTGAACTCAGGTATCTTTACGCTCCAATTTGTGTCTACTACAAAAAAAAGGGAATTGAAATAAACCAAAAAAACCGAAGACGTTGGAACAGCTTAAAATCGAATCTTTTATTCATAATTGAAAGTCTGTTAATGATGAAACATATTAATAAATAAATAAATGAAACAAATGATAAAGTAAAACGATTTATTAAACGGAACTTAGTTGAAAAAATAAGAATGTTTCGTGTAATCGTTAATGATTATTTTTATCTCCACGGTTTCAGACAGTACTCTCGGAAACCCTGGATACAACACGTGTGCATGTATACCAAGACAGGTGATAAATAGTAGAACGTAAAAAGTACTACAAATATGTAAATCCTTGGGAATTTATGTCTAACTTAGAAGACAAATAAGGCCATTTTAGAACTGTCGGCAATATGGAGATGTTACAAAAATTAACGCGCTTTTTCTTTACTTCTTGATTATTACCTTCTTTTTAATAAAAATAAAATATCCTCCACCGACTGTTAGAATAAAAAAAGATTTTGCTGACACACATTTTAAGAATGATTTATAGAATGCTTCGACTAGAAGGGCAATTACAGTAGCCATTCTTCTAGATTGTGGGGTTCCGCTTTATGTTTTTCCGATATGTCTTTTTTAAGACGGCGTACCTCAAGCGTACACAATAAAATTAACTGTACAAAACGAATTTCTGCCTTATACAGGTAAGGCAAAACATTCACCGGACTTCTGAAAATAAAATATCACTTACTTTTCTGACAACTGTCTCTTAGCCTGACATTGCTAAGGATTTCAAAATTTGTTTAGTTGTACTAAGATATAGTACTTCCGAAAAGACCCTACTAGTGGGGACAACAGCAACAAATTTTCCCTCAATAATCTGAGGTAGTTTATAGTATATCCATATAAATAAATGAAGATTAAGACAAATAATGAACGAATAAAACAAATCGTGTTTCGCAGTGAGTGGGGTATATGTTCGATTAACTTTAAATAAAAACTTACCCAAGTCACACGTTCGTCCTTTTCTTCCTGCAGGACATTGGCACATGAAGTTTTCCGTGTCCAAAGAAAAGCACTCGGATCCTCCCTTACAAGGATTCGATAGACATGGATCTATAACGTTTTCGCAGAAATCTCCTATGAAAGACGGGCCACACTCGCAACGATACAATTCTGAATCTACAGCCTGGCAAATTCCGTCGTTTTGACAAGGCGACCCAGAACAAGGATCACTACCACATTCTTGAATACCTTGAACGCCTAACACAAAATCATCTACGTCGCCGTTTAATTTTACACCTCTTCTTCCAATTTTCAAGCGTCGTATACAACCCCTAAGTCCTTGATTTGTACCAATGTTTTCGTAAACTCTATAAAGTAAGCATATGTTCTAGAGCTTTCTTACACTATAAAATACAAGAGTAATCCGAAAAGTTTGTGTAGATATTATGTTATATATGTATTTGACAGAAATATTGAGACGACAGACTTCAGATTTTTAAAATAATAATCGAGTTATTATTGATCTTTACCTTTGGACTTTTGTATAAGTCTATGGATATTTTTTAGTTATGTTTAGAAATAATAAAAAATAATGTGGACGCAATTCTGGCGAATATGGTAGATGTTGAACCATTTTGTGGCGTTAATTATAAAATGATTTAGGCTAAGATGATCCCGTGCTACAAAATTTAATTAAAGCTTCCTTAAACAATAGTATTTCCACGAACTTTTCGGAGTTATCCCGTAATAATAACGTACTTTTTGTAAGTTGTAATGACGTTCCCCACAAAAGTTTCCTCTGCTAGATCTAGGGCTTCCCAGGTGCCTTTCGATTGTCCGACGATGCTTTCGTCTTCATTCAGTTTTAAAAATCCATCCCTACGATACCGTTTTACGACCACTGTATGGTATCTATTGAGTTGAATTTTGTCTAATGATTTGATGACAGTAGGCCCGTTTCCTAAGTTATAACGAAATTCGATGAATCCGTTTACAACGGCTATCGATACAAAATCGCCCTGACCGTTTTCTCGTTGTTGATTATAAAGTAAAATTCCATTATTAGTGTAGGCCTTAAATTCAATTTCTATGCTTAATTTATAGTAAGCTTTCAGTGGTTTTAATCTAATATAAGCCTGGCCATCGAAGGACGGCACGTCGAAGTTTGTTTTCGATATTGGTATATCACAAAGCTGTCCTGTAAAATTTACAGAACATATACATGCAAAACTGGCTGCTGGCAGGTCAACGCAGCGGCTTCCTTCGGCGCACGGAGATGAAAAACATGCCCGGAATTCTTCAGTAGTGCTGGCCTCTGCAGAAAAGTTGAAGCCATTTTAAATTCATGTCTTTTTTCTCTCCAGATAATGCCATGGTCAGTGGCAAATTTTTAGTAAATGTAAAAAAATACGTGTTAAGCAAATCTAAGATACGAAAATGCGTCTTAGGATTTAGGCTAAATTCAATTCAGAGAATTACGATAAGATAAGTAACGAAAATCTCGATGATTGACTATAAGTAGAGACAAGATCTCTGACAATTCAAGAAAAAGAGAATGCAGAAGGGAAAGAAGAATGGAAACTAATATAGAAAAGTGGAAAGGCAAATTAATGATTGAAAGAAGCACGAATAGGAGAACGAATGGGGAATTGAAGCAAGGGGTGAGAATAACGTAGAACTACGGAAAAAAGGGTTGAACAAAAAGTAGAAGATCAAAGGACAATAAAACTGAAAAGATCAATTTGTGCTACTGGGTATAAAAGATGAAGCCAGCAAGAAGAACCCAAATATGTGAATGAAAAAGGAAGAGCACAATGAACAAAAATGATAACAAGATTCCAACTATGCAACGAAAGGAGAACAAGCAAATAGGGGATGTACGATGAAGACAAAGTATGTAGACTATGTTTGCTAACATAAGAAACATCAGAATAAGTAACAGCGATATGTGAATACTCTGAAGAAGAGAAGAAAATCGAAGAATTAAAGAACGGTAATGGAAAAACCATAGAAAATATTGTATAAAACTTGGGCAAACCCCATCTAAGCTAGAAACAGATTTAAAAATATAGAACGAGTTGAAGCCCGAAGGCTAATAAAAATCAGTTTAAAGTTAAACATTAGCTGAAAAATATGAAGATTACAATCAAAAGTTATTATCAGCATCGTAGTCTTATTAGTTGACGTAAAACTTTGTTCATTGTGTACGAAATCGAAACAGAAATCGATGCGAATGAAGTCTGAAAGTATATTCAACTAGGTAGAGTAGGTAAATTTTAGGTTATTAAAATAAATAATTAATGTCACCATGGGACTACTTTATCATTGTTCCTGGCTAGGTATTAATGTATGAGATTATAAATTGCACTTACCGTTGCATGCTTGGCGATCGGACGATTCGGCATAACCGGGCAAGCATGTGCATGCACCTCCGACACAAGAACTGTGGAGGATGAGACAATCTGAATCATTTGAACAAAGATCTCCTAAGAGAGCTGTTATAACTCGTACGGTGGCAGGGGTCGGCCTATAAGCCGCTGCAATATGCTCTCCTAAACGGCAATAAAGAAAACCGAGTAAATAATCAAATCGTTTATTTGTGATGAATAAACAATAAGACAATGGTACAACAAAAAGCTACAGAAAAAATAAAAGTTATTGTTCTATATCGTTATCGAAAAACCGCTCACCGCGACTTTCGAAAATGCCAGTTCCCGACGATGGATAAAGGTCATTCCCGATCGAAGCACTGTTGCTAATGTACTGGGTGTCGGGGTAAGAACTTCGGGGCGGTATATACGACCCTGCGCGTTCGTAGTACACCTTTAGATCTGGTACCATTAGATGACGTGTCGACTTGGATAATGGCGAATTTGATTCGTCCGATTGAGTAAACTGTAGGGGTGTGTAACGACGGAATGGGAGTTCCGTACCAGGCAGGGTATCATCTATAAAAATTCCATATCATCTTGTCACTTCAGCATTTAATATGTTTTGATTTTAAATCGACTCCTTTTATAAATACCAGAAGCAATCATCTACGTTGGAAGCTTTCCACAAATCTGTAACATACTACGTCAACCATTGCTTCTTCAGACAATAGAAACTTTTCTTGTCTCAAGACGCTAATGTGTGTCGTATCGTATGCCACAAGACAATAAACATTTGTGAAAATATTCTAAAGTTGCATGTCTTTCCAGTTACTATCAATTTTCGTCTAAAGATTTGATTGGAAAGACCATTTGAAATCTTCATCATTTCGTCTGCTTTCTAATTAGTAATTAGCCCATTTCATTTATCTGAAGCCATATACAGATTTATCTGACGATTTATTGTTTTATGTTTTATTGCTAGTTGTTTGAAATACAATATATAACACACGGGTGTTATTAATAAACTTATATCTTTGATGTCGTTTTCTTTCATCAATAAGATTTTCTTTGTGCAGCTCGAAAAGCATTTTACTTTTAATAAGATACTCAATACTTTCATAAATATTTTTGAATTGATCTTTGGATAATGATGCAAGTAGCGTAGTTTTGAATTTCAATTTCAATTGCAATTGGTAAGGTAATAGTCGAACGAAATCGATAAAATTTACCTATTTATTTGAACATATTCAAGCATAGAATGCAACGTTCATTTCGCCATAATTTGTGTCTATTACCTACCTGTTTATGCAAAGAATCTGCCTTTGATACATTGACTTATTTATGGCCAGACGGAAAACCGATTCAGTTTGCTTTTGCTCACAAAGGGTTAAAAAATTCCAAAAGGAAAGAACAAATAATATTTACCAACTACTTACCAAGACAAATTACGAATTATGAAGGTATTACAATACAACTAGAAGAGGAACACTTAAAAATATTCAACTGATGTTTATATAGAGAATAAGTTAAATGTAACGATTTGTGTTTTTTGGGGTGTAATTCCAAAAAAAATAGGTCTAAGTCAACATTTAAAGATATGCGAAAAGACCCTGTTGTTTATTGTTTATTTATTTGTAACCATCCTTTTTTATTTTAGAACACACGCGTTTTGATTAGCTTAGCTTTGTAAATAAAATGAAGGGTTGTCTTTGTATGTTTAATCAATGTGTGTACACATGTGCGCGCGCGCGTTTGTGTGTGTGTGTTGTGAGTGTGTTGTGTGTGTGTTGTGTGTGTGTTGTGTGTGTGTTGTGTGTTGTGTGTGTGTTGTGTGTGTGTTGTGTGCGTGTTGTGTGTGTGTTGTGTGCGTGTTGTGTGTTGTGAATTTGATGGTTATAGGAAGAAAAAAAAAATAAAAACAGAGGAATTTTCATTTTTGTTGGGTTCGTAATCGATTTGTGAGTTAAATTCTCTTAAAGCAGTAAATCCCTAAGATCAAGTTTTACGATTGGTCATTTCTAAGTTCAGTGGGGTGTGTTAAATGATTGGGGCGAGGAGGGAAGACGAACCTTTGCAAGGACCGAAAGCCTGCACGACAATATCTTTCTGTAAACGACAGGCCAGAAGCTGAAGTTGACACGAGGACGTATATGTTTGATCATCGCTTCCGCAAACAATCTAAAAAGGATAACACGAAAAAACCAGTGGTAACTGTACAGTAAACAATAGGAAATAAAACGAAAAAAAAAAAAACACTTTTAAAGAATGCCAAGTACGTACTTGATTATCGGTTTTTTCGTTACATTCGTTATAGCAGTCACAAAAGGCTGTTCCTCCTTGTTCAACACAGGACGCTCCGAAATGGCAAGTCAATTCTTTGCACGTAGTGGGAGGCGGAGCTGCTACGTCTGCTGTTGAATAGTAAACAGTTGGGCGGCATATGAAGAGCAACGTGTAAAAATTTAAAAAAAAAGAAAAAAAAAAAGAAAAAATTCTTACCTGGCACACAGCCGTTTGGTCCTAGCACTTTGTCCGGATTTGAACAGAACGTGCACTTATTCCCCTGCACGCCCGGTTTGCAGACGCATCTTCCCGTCATTTGTTCGCAATCAACGCGAACCGATCCGAACGCCGAACAGGCGCAAGCTGAAAACACAACTCATTATCGTCGGAAAATTGCGATTCATATATTCCATACGGATGCACCCTACGCTCCCTTTGTCTATATGTTGTAGGCCCCAAAATCCCGGCAAGCAACTGTCGCATTTCTGCCCACCAACTCCTGGCTTACATGGACACTGCAGTGTCGTTGGATCACACGATTTCGAATATGAACCGAGTCTGTTGCATCTGCACACAGAAGGGCAACCTGCATTGTTAGGACCTTGCGCTGGGGTCTTTTCGTCTGGACAGCAGCCATACCAACTATCTTTGCAACTGTTACTTTCCTTCTTCACTTCTAAAATTGAAGACACTGTTTGGAGGAGCTTGTTCTCCTTTTTAGATTTTGCGTTACTACCTATTGGACAGCATCGAGCTACTGTTAGAGTAATGTGACAGTAGCTTCCTGTAGGACAATCTCTCCTGTTTGCGTTGTTACCGCAATCAAATTCTTCGTTTGTGAATGGATCTACAACTGGTTTTTCCCCGTTGCACGGCTTCACCTCGGAACCTTTAAATTAATTCACAAATTGCGAGGTAAACTAAACATTACTGAAGGATCATCTACTTTATCTACCTACAAGGATCACTCCTTGTTCTACATGCAGGATTATCCCAGATTTGATAGAGAGGAATGTATTGGTTGTTCGGAAAGTCATTTCGTTTTTTCCCGACAGAGGATTTAATTGTATTCTTTTGCACGCAACTTCACATTTAAGCCGTATAATTTTTATATGCTTTGAGAGCTCATATAGCAAGGCTTGTGTGTGAAAAATTCCAATTAATTCTACGCAGTAGTTTTTGGTTGGTGCCCTTTTAAATATGGAGAGCGATAAGCAGCATTTTCGACATATCTTACTGTTTTACTACAGAAAGGGTAAAAATGCTGTTCAAGCCAGAAAGAAATTGACTGATGTGTATGGAGAAGGTGTGTTGACAGTACGCCAGTGCCAGAACTGGTTCGCTAAATTTCGATCCGGCAATTTTGATGTCGAAGATGCACCACGTTCGGGAAGGCCGGTTGAAGCTGATAAAGACGCGATAAAGGCATTAGTTGATGTGAACCGGCGAATAACAACACGTGAGATCGGATTGAGGTTAAATTTATCAAATTCAACAGTTTATGACCACTTGAAAGGCCTGGGATTATCCTCGAAGCTCGATGTATGGGTTCCCCATGTTCTCACAGAGAGAAATCTGTGTCGCCGCATTGACGTCTGCGATTCGCTTCTCAAACGTCACGAAAATGATCCGTTTTTGAAGCGCATCATCACTGGGGACGAAAAATGGGTTGTATACAACAACGTCAAACGCAAGAGGTCATGGAGCAAAAAAGATGAACCGGCTCAAACCATTTCCAAAGCCGATATTCACCAAAAAAAGGTGATGCTGTCTGTTTGGTGGGATTTTAAAGGAATCGTTTTTTTTTAGCTTTTACCGGATAACACAACGATTAATTCGGAAGTCTACTGTCATCAGCTGGACAAACTGAATGATGCACTTCAACAGAAAAGGTCAGAACTAATCAACAGGAAAGGTGTAGTGTTTCACCAAGACAACGCGAGACCTCACACAAGTTTGGTCACTCGCCAAAAGCTTTTACAGCTTGAATGGGATACAATGCTACACCCACCATATTCTCCAGACCTGGCACCATCGGATTATTATTTGTTCCGGTCACTCCAAAATTTTTTAGACGGTAAAACCTTCACCTCAAATGAGGAGGTCAAAAACCTCCTCGATCAGTTTTTTGCCAGCAAAGACCAAAAATTTTATGAGCGTGGAATTATGCTACTACCAGAAAGATGGCAAAAGGTGTTGGACCAGAACGGTCAATATATAATTTAATAAAGTATTTGTTTATTATACGAAAACTGTCTTTCATTTCCACAAAAAAAAACGAAATGACTTTCCGAACAACCCAATAAAATACTTGATGATAATACACAAGTTTATGAATTTATTGAGAAAATTTGGGAATATTAACTATATAAAGTAAATTCTTTAATGGCTTTAGTACCTTCCGAAATACTGACGGTTATAAGAGGGGGATAGGGTAAGAAAAGAGGGTGGTCCAAGAATTGTCTTTTCGGAAGGTTTTCGCAATTGGGGGCAGATATCCCTTTTCCTTGCTACTAAAGCAATCCTAATTTAATTGATAGTAATTAAATATTAGTACGAATTAGTTGACCCTGTACCTTTGCAAACTTCAAGCGGTCTCAGTCGTAATTCCTGCTGCCTTTGGCACGCTTCCATTTTCATTGCGCAAAGAGTAGGGTACATTTTCTTATCGGAAGCACATACTGACTGTTCTGAAGCAATGTTTTCGCAATCAAACTGGCAAGTACAACGGGGAAAATTGTCCGGACCAATTTCACAAGTGGCATCGAAATCGCAGATAATGTCGCGACATTTTTCCGCAGTTTCCAAGTCTAATTCGGTGTTGTTGTAACTAAGCCGTTTGGTGTGCGAAAATTCAATATTGCCAAGTTTCGAATCGACCCCAACCGAGGAGTAGGGAGCTGCAGTAGACATGTTAGTGCATTGTTAGTTCGTTAAGGAAAGAGAAAACACCAACAATGTTCAATTTACTTACTTAGAGTTGATGCAGCGGTAAATCGTTCGCTACAATTTCCATAGAACAAGATGGTAAGAGGAAGTAGATCAGGCGATCGTTCGCAGTTTGCTTTTTGAAATTCGCATTCGTTAATAAACGTTTTATTCGAGGATGCACAGACAGGCTCTTCCCTAACGCCCTCGCATTTTACAGGACATTGACAATTACCGGATTTACAATCGTCCCCATCTATGGGACATTCCTCCCCGTTGCACGAGTCTAAACCAATATTTTTAATACACTTCAGTACACCTTTTAGGATCAGAAATACTTACTGCACGGTCCACGATAGGATACCGAAATGAGTTGTTGAGTTTTGCATGATATCATCCGCATTTCGCATTCGTTTACGTATGTCACACCATCATTACCACAAACGGGACCTTTAAGAAGCTGTGGGGGACAATTTTTGAAATAATTTCATCAATTCAATAAGCTGCTCGTTACCTTTGCGTCTGTGCAAGAAGTTGGACAAACACATTGTGTCCCTATATCTTCGTTTGGTACGCACATCGAATAAAAGTCACATTTTCGACTCTCGCATCCATCTGAAGGTTACCGAAAAGTTTAGACAAACGTGTCGTTAAAATTACATAGCAACTATGCTTTTGATTAGATGCGGCTTTAATTATTATGTGTTTGTAACGAGTGTCAGTCAGGAAATTGCAGTCCGCAATAAATGTATAATTAAACTTGCAGAGTAAATAACTGATTATAAAGTTTAACATTTAGTTAGTTAATGAAGAACAGTCCTCTTGGCGTCTGCTAATATGCAAACGTTTAACTGTAAAACTACCTTCGTCATTTAAGAAATGATACAGTCGAACAATAATATAAATATGTTAACAGAATTTACTGCGAATTTTGTCGTAAACGTAAAACAATTTCCCTGGAGTCAATAAAACAATAGCAGATTATGAACACAATGTCAACAACTTTGGTCCAAACATGTTTACACCGTCGGCGATTCGATTGGCGAATTGTTCCTATCAAAGCTTGAAAGCACCGTATTTGACAACAGTTGGAATTTCACTTTGAACAAATAAAAAAAAAAAAGGAGGAAAGTGAACAATAAATGATCAACGGCATGTACCCATCGTCCCGTTCGAGTGTGGGATTTTAAAAATTTAAATCAAATAAAATTTATAAATACATTTTCTGCTAAGTACTTGCAATAAAACGATGTGAAACATTGAATCAGGTGTTTGATGTGGATTTTGTAGGAATTGCTTGGGAAGTATATCTTGTTGAAACGTTTTTAGAGATTTAGTTTGTTACCTCAAGGAATTTAATCCAGAATGCAGACGACATCAAAGAGTAAAGTCTGGGCAAGGAATATTCTTTTCTAAGAAATGTTGGTTTTGTGAAATCCCCAATGAATTTGTATGAGCACATAGAACTGGCCGATAGTTAAATGATCATTGGGAATAAGGTCTGGCAAGTAGGGTGGATGGAAAGTGTATTTGAATTAATAAAAAATGATTGATTAAATTAATTATCGATCAAAAGATCTCGGATAGAATTTTAGAAGCATTGAATAGATTATGATATAGTTTCTACTTTTATTTGGGATATTTAATCAGCAGGGAAGGTTCAAATAATTTTTTTTACGTTTTGTTGATTTTATGAGTAAAGCAAACAAAAAAAGCTTGTTTCACGTGGTGGTAGAAAACTATTGCAGTTGTTGATATTCTGTTCAAATTTATGCGTAAACTAGTTTTATAGCAAAATAAGGAGTTGGGAGATGTGAATAATTGAAGAAAGTTTTTATATTTTTGTTGGAATGAGAAAGAGGAGGAAAGGGGTGCGCTTGACTTACCGCAGGGGGCCGTGTACATGACACGAATTTCCTGCTGTTGTTTGCAAGATTCTAATTTAAGTTTGCATATGTTTCCATAGGTGATACCGTCGGATCCGCAGACAGGTTGAAATTCGGAGGAGCAAGTGAAGCATTGACAGGCAGCAATGCCATTTTTTTCTTGGCAAACGGCGCCAAAACGGCATACGTGATGGCTGCAGGGACCCATTTCGCCACACACACCCTGATACGCTGGTTCAAGCGTAAGATTAAAAGTACATGCCGTCCTTTTCAATTCGCACAGAGAGGAATAGGTACGGTCGTCGTTTCCACATACTGGTTTCATCTTCATTTCGCAGGGTGGAGGGCATACGCAAGTAGCGTGACCTCGTTTGTCGATGGAACATTCCCGGTAATGTTTGCATTCTAGCTCTTCACATGGATTTTCGTCTGATAATGCCAAATTGGAGTCAATTTAAATACGTGATCGCTTTCACATAACATTTTTCTTTTTTTTTTTTTTGTTTAATACTTATTGCAGAACAATCATTTTCTATTAATCATCTCTTCAAATAAATCTTTTATTATTTTAAAACTTTCTTAAAGTTATTTTAAATCTACAATTTCAATATTGTTTGGTTCAGATTTACTAATTTTTTTGTGTGTCGTGTATAATTTTGCTTATCGCTTTTACGCTTTTTAGGGTTCCGTACGTCCGAATGAAAAACGGAACCCTTATGGGATCGCTCGTGTGTCTCTCTGTCCGTCTGTCATAGTCAATTTGATAAATTGATTTGGGATATGGGGTCATTTTTGGGGGGTCAATTGGAAATTAAAAAAAATTTAGTTTTGCAAGCTTTAGCATGTGACATATCAAATAAAAGGGCTTATTGTAAGGGTCTGAAATATATATTTTTTAAAATTAATAGTTCTAATGTTATTTAAGGAAGTGGATGAAAATTCGCCCCCTTTCTCTATCTTTGAAACTACTGAACCTAAAATTTTGAAACAAATACAGAAAATAGTTCTATAGATTACAGGTAAGTTAATAACAAGTCTATGGCCTGAACATAACGTGGTAAATCTTTCAACAAAACAATATTGTATGTACAAATAAATGTATTGAAGAAAATGTTATGTTGGTTCTCGAGTTAGGGTTCCCTGCATCCGAAAGAAAAACGGAACCCTTACAAGATCACTCATGTGTCTCTGCAATAAGTACCTATTGTTTATATCCATTACCTGTAGTACATTTTCCTGAATACATCATGCTAACTGATCTACCAGTTCGACATACTTCTTGTCGTAAGAAACATTCATTTTCGTACGTTTTCCCATCTGAGGCACACACAGGATTTATCTCTAAGGGACACGATTCGCTACATCGACATATGGGGTTTCGTTTTTCATCTAATTGACATATTTCGGGATCAGGACATACTATCGATTCACAGGGGTCTAAAATCGTTTTTACAATTGAATACACAGTTGTTACAGCTTAAAGCTTATTCTACCTTTAGTAAGTGTATTAAGTATTAGAAACATCAAAAAACAATAAGGTAATTGCGCGACATCCGTTGCACGATAAAAGCTTTTAAATCAGCAATTTTACTTATTAATGTAATGTATTTTTTGTATTTGAATAAAGAAGTTGAAATTAGTGAAAAGTTGTGAAATTAATTTAGTCGTTATTAAATCGGAACATACTATCACAACTTCCAAAGAAGTCTTGCTATAAAAGTTCATCAGAAACTTTGTTTTTGGAGTTAGTCTGAGTGAAAGAAATTCAATTTCAAACGGATGCGGAAAGCAAAATGGTGTATTAGTTTTTCTCTAACAATAGGAAACCTTCTTCCTGTAATTTATATTCGATTTTAACTTTTCAATCATTTCATAATAAGTCGAAATAAACAAATAAAAGTACGTGTTGTATTGTACACACAAAGGAGAATTCCTAGAATCTGTTTTGAAAATTTGATTTGAATCTAGTGTACATTTACGTATGTCGAGTTATTCTTTGTTTTATTAAATTGTAACCAAGTCTTGGAGTTTTGTGATGTCGTATGTTAGACTGACTGAGTTTGGAACTAATTTTATTAAAGAGTAAAATTTGCTAATTTGAAATTGGTTTTCCTATTGGTATAGCTAATTATAGACATTTATTGGTCTCGTACAAGAATTTGTTAAAAATTTGCTAGTTCTTCCATTTCCAAAATCCGGGTGTTGAGCACATAAAGTTGTAATCTGTTTAAAACATTTGAAAATTGAACTTGAATCTGGTGTAGATTTACGTATGTGGAGTTATTCTTTGTTTTATTAAATTGTGACCAGGTCTTGGAGTTTTGTGATGTCGTTTGTTAGAAGTTTGGAACTAATTTTATTAAAGAGTAAAATTTGCCAATTTGAAATTGGTTTTCCTATTGGTATAGCTAATTATAGACATTTATTGGTCTCGTACAAGAATTTGTTAAAAATTTGCTAGTTCTTCCATTTCCAAAATCCGGGTGTTGAGCACATAAAGTTGTAATCTGTTTAAAACATTTGAAAATTGAACTTGAATCTGGTGTAGATTTACGTATGTGGAGTTATTCTTTGTTTTATTAAATTGTGACCAGGTCTTGGAGTTTTGTGATGTCGTTTGTTAGAAGTTTGGAACTAATTTTATTAAAGAGTAAAATTTGCCAATTTGAAATTGGTTTTCCTATTGGTATAGCTAATTATAGACATTTATTGGTCTCGTACAAGAATTTGTTAAAAATTTGCTAGTTCTTCCATTTCCAAAATCCGGGTGTTGAGCACATAAAGTTGTAATCTGTTTAAAACATTTGAAAATTGAACTTGAATCTGGTGTAGATTTACGTATGTGGAGTTATTCTTTGTTTTATTAAATTGTGACCAGGTCTTGGAGTTTTGTGATGTCGTTTGTTAGAAGTTTGGAACTAATTTTATTAAAGAGTAAAATTTGCCAATTTGAAATTGGTTTTCCTATTGGTATAGCTAATTATAGACATTTATTGGTCTCGTACAAGAATTTGTTAAAAATTTGCTAGTTCTTCCATTTCCAAAATCCGGGTGTTGAGCACATAAAGTTGTAATCTGTTTAAAACATTTGAAAATTGAACTTGAATCTGGTGTAGATTTACGTATGTGGAGTTATTCTTTGTTTTATTAAATTGTGACCAGGTCTTGGAGTTTTGTGATGTCGTTTGTTAGAAGTTTGGAACTAATTTTATTAAAGAGTAAAATTTGCCAATTTGAAATTGGTTTTCCTATTGGTATAGCTAATTATAGACATTTATTGGTCTCGTACAAGAATTTGTTAAAAATTTGCTAGTTCTTCCATTTCCAAAATCCGGGTGTTGAGCACATAAAGTTGTAATCTGTTTAAAACATTTGAAAATTGAACTTGAATCTGGTGTAGATTTACGTATGTGGAGTTATTCTTTGTTTTATTAAATTGTGACCAGGTCTTGGAGTTTTGTGATGTCGTTTGTTAGAAGTTTGGAACTAATTTTATTAAAGAGTAAAATTTGCCAATTTGAAATTGGTTTTCCTATTGGTATAGCTAATTATAGACATTTATTGGTCTCGTACAAGAATTTGTTAAAAATTTGCTAGTTCTTCCATTTCCAAAATCCGGGTGTTGAGCACATAAAGTTGTAATCTGTTTAAAACATTTGAAAATTGAACTTGAATCTGGTGTAGATTTACGTATGTGGAGTTATTCTTTGTTTTATTAAATTGTGACCAGGTCTTGGAGTTTTGTGATGTCGTTTGTTAGAAGTTTGGAACTAATTTTATTAAAGAGTAAAATTTGCCAATTTGAAATTGGTTTTCCTATTGGTATAGCTAATTATAGACATTTATTGGTCTCGTACAAGAATTTGTTAAAAATTTGCTAGTTCTTCCATTTCCAAAATCCGGGTGTTGAGCACATAAAGTTGTAATCTGTTTAAAACATTTGAAAATTGAACTTGAATCTGGTGTAGATTTACGTATGTGGAGTTATTCTTTGTTTTATTAAATTGTGACCAGGTCTTGGAGTTTTGTGATGTCGTTTGTTAGAAGTTTGGAACTAATTTTATTAAAGAGTAAAATTTGCCAATTTGAAATTGGTTTTCCTATTGGTATAGCTAATTATAGACATTTATTGGTCTCGTACAAGAATTTGTTAAAAATTTGCTAGTTCTTCCATTTCCAAAATCCGGGTGTTGAGCACATAAAGTTGTAATCTGTTTAAAACATTTGAAAATTGAACTTGAATCTGGTGTAGATTTACGTATGTGGAGTTATTCTTTGTTTTATTAAATTGTGACCAGGTCTTGGAGTTTTGTGATGTCGTTTGTTAGAAGTTTGGAACTAATTTTATTAAAGAGTAAAATTTGCCAATTTGAAATTGGTTTTCCTATTGGTATAGCTAATTATAGACATTTATTGGTCTCGTACAAGAATTTGTTAAAAATTTGCTAGTTCTTCCATTTCCAAAATCCGGGTGTTGAGCACATAAAGTTGTAATCTGTTTAAAACATTTGAAAATTGAACTTGAATCTGGTGTAGATTTACGTATGTGGAGTTATTCTTTGTTTTATTAAATTGTGACCAGGTCTTGGAGTTTTGTGATGTCGTTTGTTAGAAGTTTGGAACTAATTTTATTAAAGAGTAAAATTTGCCAATTTGAAATTGGTTTTCCTATTGGTATAGCTAATTATAGACATTTATTGGTCTCGTACAAGAATTTGTTAAAAATTTGCTAGTTCTTCCATTTCCAAAATCCGGGTGTTGAGCACATAAAGTTGTAATCTGTTTAAAACATTTGAAAATTGAACTTGAATCTGGTGTAGATTTACGTATGTGGAGTTATTCTTTGTTTTATTAAATTGTGACCAGGTCTTGGAGTTTTGTGATGTCGTTTGTTAGAAGTTTGGAACTAATTTTATTAAAGAGTAAAATTTGCCAATTTGAAATTGGTTTTCCTATTGGTATAGCTAATTATAGACATTTATTGGTCTCGTACAAGAATTTGTTAAAAATTTGCTAGTTCTTCCATTTCCAAAATCCGGGTGTTGAGCACATAAAGTTGTAATCTGTTTAAAACATTTGAAAATTGAACTTGAATCTGGTGTAGATTTACGTATGTGGAGTTATTCTTTGTTTTATTAAATTGTGACCAGGTCTTGGAGTTTTGTGATGTCGTTTGTTAGAAGTTTGGAACTAATTTTATTAAAGAGTAAAATTTGCCAATTTGAAATTGGTTTTCCTATTGGTATAGCTAATTATAGACATTTATTGGTCTCGTACAAGAATTTGTTAAAAATTTGCTAGTTCTTCCATTTCCAAAATCCGGGTGTTGAGCACATAAAGTTGTAATCTGTTTAAAACATTTGAAAATTGAACTTGAATCTGGTGTAGATTTACGTATGTGGAGTTATTCTTTGTTTTATTAAATTGTGACCAGGTCTTGGAGTTTTGTGATGTCGTTTGTTAGAAGTTTGGAACTAATTTTATTAAAGAGTAAAATTTGCCAATTTGAAATTGGTTTTCCTATTGGTATAGCTAATTATAGACATTTATTGGTCTCGTACAAGAATTTGTTAAAAATTTGCTAGTTCTTCCATTTCCAAAATCCGGGTGTTGAGCACATAAAGTTGTAATCTGTTTAAAACATTTGAAAATTGAACTTGAATCTGGTGTAGATTTACGTATGTGGAGTTATTCTTTGTTTTATTAAATTGTGACCAGGTCTTGGAGTTTTGTGATGTCGTTTGTTAGAAGTTTGGAACTAATTTTATTAAAGAGTAAAATTTGCCAATTTGAAATTGGTTTTCCTATTGGTATAGCTAATTATAGACATTTATTGGTCTCGTACAAGAATTTGTTAAAAATTTGCTAGTTCTTCCATTTCCAAAATCCGGGTGTTGAGCACATAAAGTTGTAATCTGTTTAAAACATTTGAAAATTGAACTTGAATCTGGTGTAGATTTACGTATGTGGAGTTATTCTTTGTTTTATTAAATTGTGACCAGGTCTTGGAGTTTTGTGATGTCGTTTGTTAGAAGTTTGGAACTAATTTTATTAAAGAGTAAAATTTGCCAATTTGAAATTGGTTTTCCTATTGGTATAGCTAATTATAGACATTTATTGGTCTCGTACAAGAATTTGTTAAAAATTTGCTAGTTCTTCCATTTCCAAAATCCGGGTGTTGAGCACATAAAGTTGTAATCTGTTTAAAACATTTGAAAATTGAACTTGAATCTGGTGTAGATTTACGTATGTGGAGTTATTCTTTGTTTTATTAAATTGTGACCAGGTCTTGGAGTTTTGTGATGTCGTTTGTTAGAAGTTTGGAACTAATTTTATTAAAGAGTAAAATTTGCCAATTTGAAATTGGTTTTCCTATTGGTATAGCTAATTATAGACATTTATTGGTCTCGTACAAGAATTTGTTAAAAATTTGCTAGTTCTTCCATTTCCAAAATCCGGGTGTTGAGCACA